TATCTGATACGTGGGCCATAGGTTCACATGATATTAAATTAATTTTTTACAAAGGGAGGGTCCATCACTATAGCTTGCTATTGGGACCTTCATGAGTAGCCCATGCGTTGCACTACTGCAAGGGCCTGGCTCACCCCACCAAACCAAACTGAAAGTGTTTATCTCAGCTCAGACCATCCAATCCATAATACACATTAAGGTCCAGATTGATGACTTATTGGATTGGGTTAGGGCCCCAGATTGATGAGTTAATGGGTTGGGTTAGGGTTAGGGTTGTTAAATAAAGGTTATAGTCTTGCAGAGATTTCTCATTTTCAGTTCTGATTAAAGGTTACCTATGCTGATTGCTGATTAAAGGTGTTCACAGACGTGAAGCATGTACAGGTCCACTAACTTTGTGTCCAAGTCCAACGATCCCATCCACTGTATGGTTATGGCCCAAAGATAGCCTTCCACAAATGAGGTCCCACATTTTTCATTCACGCCCACTTTACGGTCAGATTGCAGTACTGCACTATACAAAATGTTTTCCCCATTTATATCTTGTGTTTATCATCTCCAGTCTCCACTGGTTTAACTAGTTATTGTGTAAAACATTTCATTCCCAAGATTAAGATGGTGTTTGTTTTTAGTTATACTAGCTTCAGAAAACCCAAAATCATGTTTGTTTTTATAAGTAGTTATGGACTTATAAGATTATCTAGTAGAAAATGGCGGTTACTATAAACTCTATTCTCAAGCTTATAGCTGATAGCTAGTAGCTTATAAGCTATAAGCAATCAGATAGAAAAACAAACAGCACCTAAATGAACATTTTCTTTATGGGCACACTTTTTCACTTTTATGAATAGAAAAGAAGAAAACCTTTTTTGCATGTGGCTGCTTTTCCACTTTTGAAGCTTCTAGCTTTCAGGTCTCTTGCTTTTCCAATTTGGTCTCAAGCTCACATAACTCACAATCACTATCATAAGAGGGTCCTTTCTGTACTCCAGAAAGTCCAAAATAATGTACCATTACGTTGCATTAGGAATTTTAGAAGAAAAAAAAATCTAGATAACAATTTTTGCTCCATTACGTAGACATTTTCTTGATTTCTTCTACAATTAACAACAGTAGACCACAGTTCTGTTTGTCAACACTGTGAAAGAAAATCTCATACAGTCATACATAATCCCAAGTAATTGTTATTGTTGCAAACCAGTTGACAAGAAAAGGGTCCATCAAAGAAGAAAAAGGAGGGAAAAAGAACAACAAGATGAACACTTTATTAGACAAAAGTTGTGCACAAGGTACAATGATTTAGCTGCTGTGACCAGGACTGATTAACTATATATTTCACTAATGAAGAACCCTTAAAATGTAGGCCAGATATATATATCATGGAGACTCCAGATGTATGTAAGTCCTACATAACCAATAAAGATTGTCCCGACACTAATTTGAAGGGTACGTACACTCTTACAAAGAAAAAAGGCCCAAAAGGGGAAGGAGAAGACTTAAAGACCAATGAGGATGATTCATGTCCCCAGTATCTCTTCCCCACACTCCACACTGTATAGATTGAGTCACTAGCTTATTAGATGGTGATGGATTGGTGGTTGTGGTGCTTATATGTTTTATTTCATAATTAACTCTCTTATTAGCTTTGGATTCTTCAGTTTTTAGGTCCTACTATCTCTCACTTTTTTTCATTAATTTTCCATTCTAATTATTCAAATTGCTTGTCCTACTAATTTTTGAAAAAACACTGATACTGATACTAGCTTTCTGACCATATACTAAATGGAACTAGCTAGCTTAGATCCCAAGCAATTTTTATTATTGAAGAACATTTCCAAGGCATGCATTACATATACTTGTGTTGGCATGTTCTAGCCACAATCTTTGTATTTCATGTATTGGAAGTCTAATTTTAAAAAAAAATAGCAAGTTCTAGCTATGTACAGTGAGAAAATCACATCTCTAAGATTTTGTCTCCCCATGCATGTTCACAATAATCATTTTAATTTTTATCACAAAATTACAATTTTTATAAACGAAACTATGTAACATGTACCGAGACATCACCACGCTAATGT